GCGTGAACCACTATGCCCGGCCTGCATCCCATACATTCTGATATGTTGTGTTTTCAGTATCGAGTTCAAAATATTTTCTAATTTCCTTTGTGTTTTTTCTTTGACTGATGGGTTATTTTGAAGTATGTTAATTTCCCAACATGATTTTAATTTTGGGATTTTTTCGGCGTGTCATCACTGTTGATATCCCATTCCATTTCTGTGTGGTCAGAGAACATATTCTGTAACATTTAAACCTTCAAATGTATTTTATAACCCAGCATATCATCCAGTTTGGTGACCATTCCACGAGCACGTGGAAAGAATGGCTCTTCTGCTGTTGCTGGGTCAGGCTGGTTGGTCCTATTGTTAAATCTTATCCCTGTGAATTGTTTACTTGTTCTATCGATTTCTGAGAGAAGGGGGTTAAAATCTGACTGTGGATTTCGTCTGCTTTCTCCTATAGTTCTTCCATGCTTGCTTCATATCTCTTCAATCTCTATTAATTCATCTTGATGAATTGACCTTGTTATGCTTTCCGTTTGCTTCTTGTAATATACCATGAATTATGTTTGTCTGAAAGTAATATAACCATACAAGCTTTTTATACTTATTGTTTGCACAGTGACACTTTTTTTTTTTCCTCAGGGCCTCGCTCTGTCACCCAGGCTGAGTGCAGTGATGTGATCACAGCTCACTGCAGCATTGACTTCCCAGGCTCCAGCCACCCTCACACCTCGCCCTGGGAGTAGCTGGGACTACAGGTGCGCACCACCACGTCCAGCTGTTTTATAATGTTTTTGGAGAGATGGGGTATCTCACTGGGTTGCCCAGGCTGGTCCCGAAGTCCTGGGCTCAAGTGATCCTCCTGCCTCAGCTTCCCAAAGTGCTAAGATTATAGGTGTGAGCCACCACATCCGGCCTAAAACTTTTTCCATCCTTTTACTCCTGTCTTGTGCTTTTCTATTTAAAGTGCATCACTTATAGACAACTTACGGTTAGGTTTCCTTTTAGATCTAGATTGACAACCTCTGCCTTTTAATTAATTGGAGTGTTGCATCCATTTACACTTCATGTAATTATCAGTATGGTTAGAGTTCAGTCCACCATACTCGTCACATCTGGCTTTTTGTTCCTCTGTCACTGCTTTCCTGTGTTTTGGTGAATATCTTTCATGTCTGATTTTGCAGCCATCCATGTGGGGCATCCGTGATGCCCCGGCCCCACTAACCTCACCAGTGCCCCACCACATCTCCCTTTGAGCCCGTCAGCCTGTGCAACATGGCCTCAGCCCTCCCCGGATGACCACCACTACACCCAGCAGAACCGCAGCAGTGGTTTGCTGGCCAGGGCCTAGAGCCGCAGAATACACTCCCTTGACCCTCAGGGAAAGATGCAGTTAGCGAGACTTACTCTTCTCCACCACCAAAGCAAGGTGAGTTTACTCCCTCCCTCACCCCAGGATCCTCCCTGAATGGGCCAGGGGCTGCTGCTAACACATCTCAGGAGCGCCAGCCTCAGCCCCTACTCCCAGCGCCTTGATAAAGGTGAGGGCGCTAGCGGAAAGACTGCGCAGAGGGCAAGAGCAGCTTCTGGGGCCTCTCGGAGCCCAGCCCTGCCTTCTTGGCAGTGGGAAGTGTATGCTCCCAACCTCCACTTTGCGCTTAATAGTGGGGCCAGAGTATCCTGCGTGTAAGATGGGGATGATCGTCGCCATGCCAGGGAGCCCTGAGGATCATACACAGTGCCCCTAAAGCACCCGGCACAGCACTTGACCAGGGCACACAGGCGACAAACAGGAGCTGGGAGAGTTTCCTGTGGCTGCCGGAACAAACAATTGCAAACTGGGCATGGTGATGGGCAGTCATGCACCTGACCTTTACCTTCTCACCATTCTGAAGGCCAGAAGTCTGAGATCCAGGTGCCAGCAGGGCCGCGCCCCCTGAGGGCTCTGGGGAAAGACGCATCTCGGCCTCTTCCAGCTCCTGGTGGCTCCAGGCTCCTGGGATTGTGGCTGCATGGCTCCTGCCTCTGTCTTCACGTAGCCTCTCCTCACGTGTCTTTTCCTGTCCTCCTTAGGACACTTGTCACTGGATTTAGGGCCCCCTATAATCCAGGAGGGTTTCCTCTTCAGATCCTTAGTGACATCTGCAAAGACCCTTCATCAAATAAGGTGAGATTCACAGGTCCAGGGGGTAGAACGTGACACCTGCTTTTGAGGGCACCTTTCAACCCACAACATCATCATTTCCTCTTCCTTCACATTCTGGAGGTGCTCCTGGGTCCCCAGCAACAGACTGGGTGTTCAAGTGTGCCCCATTGGCCTCATGAGCCCTGCAGGAAGGAACCATCCCTGTAAGGGCACAAGGCTTGTGGCCCGATCTGCAGCTAAGCCTAGATCAGGCTCCCCGCGGCCCCAGTGCCTCTGCAGTGCCTGTCACCCTGGGCTGTGTCTCTAAGAATACACCAGGATTCCAGGGCACACAGCTGCAGCGCTGCCCCCAGTCCCGGGTACGCCTCGGCTCACACTGCAGCTCAGCGGCAGCAATGCGGGCGACGCAAACCAGCTCTGTGTCTGAGAGCCTCTGCCTCGCTTTCTGGGGGATGGCACAGCACTGACACAGCACATGCAAACAGCTACAGGCGGTGGGGACAGTGACGCAACCCTGCCGGGCTCTCCAACCATGCCCTCCCTAGCCACTCGGAGAAAGCACCCCTTCATCTGTCCAAGGAATCCTCAAGAAGTAGACGGAGTCATGCACTCTTCAGATGTTCTATAGTTACATCTAATGGTAACAACGGCCGTCATTTGAAAACGGCTCCTGTGCACACATCCTCCAAGAACAAATCATGGAAACGTTACCAGGTGACCGTCTTTACACCTGCGTCTGCAGTGGGGAGTTGGCATAAGCTTTTGGTTGGAGGTGTGAACAGTGCCAGCTCCCCAAAGCAAGCTTTCTTTTCTGTCGTTTGAAATACGGCAGGAGAGCTAAAGTGCTATTAAAATATACTGGCTTCTGGTTCAAGAGAAATACTTTTTTGTACCAATTTAATTCACGTTTCTAAAACGGAGGCAGGGATAGCATCACAGTCTGTTCCATGAATTCCCGCTCCTTTGGGGCCTTTCCATGACAAATCATTTGTAATGGAATCTCTCTGAAGCACGGGGGAAAAATCGAAGGCGTCAAAGTGCCCTTTCCATTACAATCAATCAACTTCACTGGCCAGGATTCCGTTTGCAGAACGCAGGATAAACACGGAGCGGTGCCTGCCCAGCACTTACTCCCTGCTAGCCTCTGTTCACCTCCGTGTTCTCTTTTACATGACCACTTCCTAAAACGCGATCACTGTTAAGTAAGATCCTGGAAATCACCACCACCATGGAGAAACGACATGAAGAGTCTGCATTAAAATAATGTGATGGGTGCTCAGAAGGAAGGAGCGGCCAGGGGTCATTTCATTTTCAGGACCTCCCACCAGTCACTGCTGGATAAAGGACGGACGCTGGACACCAGTGTTTAATAAACAAAATTTATTATCCATAAGCTGAAGATACCTGAGGTTACCTGAGGACTGGCATTAAATAACTTCTTATAATAAAAGTCTGTCAAAAATACATGTATAAGTAAGTATTCATGTGTTTACAAAAGCAAACTCCGACCTCTCCCCTGCTAGAAATTGGGAACGTGCCCCCACCGGAGGCACAGACTTTCGGGAGGATGAGGCCACAAAGCTCTGCTCTTCCCACATTGTCAGAACGCCCCAAGAAGTAAGTGGCTATGCAAAGCCTAGCCTGGGGAAAAGCTGGCCCGTGGTGTGGACTCTCCAAAATGCAGACCCAACCAGAGGCCAGCCTGCCTTTCCATTTGGAGACACTGCAGAGCTTCTGGAGGTGGCCCGTTCCAGGAGCCTGGCAAACACTTCCAGAGACACTCGGGGTATGCCAACTCTGGGGCTGTGTCCTGAGTACCCAGGGCTCCAAGGCCCAGCCCGTGGATGGGTGCTCGGGGGGCACCCCCGCACACTCGGCATGTGCTGACATGCTCTCTCCAGTTCCAACAGCCACACCAGAGCCTTCCACGGAACATCTAAGTAATGAAATCTCAACATTACAGTAAAAAAGTGCAAAAGGTCTCTTTTGCAAATCTTTGTGTACAGCTGAGATGTTCAGTTCAGTGAAGCGTCTTGCCCATGCACATCCAGCACAGACACGGGCTGAACCGCACGCCCATCTGGGACATCTTCACTGGAATACAAGACCACGCATGATGCTATTTTACTTTAGATTCTGTGTAGTTTCCTGAGCATATTTTAGACGGAACTTTTTTTGGTCTGCGATCTTTGGCAGAAAAAAGGTCTCTAGCATTATTATAAAAATTGTGCATTTATTTAAAAGAAAAGGAAAAAAGACAGCTTACCTCGGCTGGCCCAACCCCTCTCCCAAAATCTGATCCCACTGTGGACGCCTCCAGCTGCGCAGGCCCTATCCACCTCCTCTGCTGGGAGACACACCCTTTGTTATCTGAGCCACTCTTCCTTCTCACAGGCCTCGCTGGAGGCCCCAGGGCCCCGGGCTCACCGTCATGTGCCCAGCCCAGCATTCCTCCGTGATGCGTAAGGACCGGGTAAGTCAATGCTTGAGGTAAGGAAAGGCAAAACCAGGGATGTGAGAGCTACAGGTCACCTGTGACTCAGCCAAGCTGCCGGCTCCATGCCGGCCCATGGTGGTGATTTCCAGCAATTTCCAGGCAACACACAAAGTAATGTCTCAATAGAGGTTATCACCAACAAGATGCAGCTGCCTGCCTGAGACGCACCCCAACAGGACACACTCTTGGTGCAGTTTAGCCAGAGGACCCGAAGGCCATTGAGAAGCTGCATGGCCATGGGTCTCGTGGCTGGCCACACGGTAAGCAAGCTCCACGCTGAGTCTGGGCTGCCCTGCCCCCCACCGCTCGGGGCTTCTGCTCCTGGTGGGCTCGAGGGGGCGGCATGGTTCCGCTTGGCACACTCAGCCACGTCTATTCCCCTTTCCAGATGGCGATCTTCCCCTCCTCCTTGCCCGACCCGCTCAGCACGTATCTGTCCTCAGCCGAGCACAGCGTCCTCACAGTGTCCATGTGCGCCACCAGCTCCTTCTCCACGGTCTTGCTCTCAGCATCAATCACGTAGATTTTCCCCTTGGGTGTTCCCTGCCACAGCCCTCGGCTGCCCACCCAGACCTGCCAGGGAGACACAGGAGGGGTCAGTGGAGGAAGGAGCCCCTCCCAGGCATGCCAGGCCTCTGCTCAGCTACCTGGAATTGATGCGTGTGCCCCCAAAACTACCTCCTTCCTGGACAGGACTCTGCCGGCTGAGGGCCAGGGCCACCTGGCAGGTGCAGAGGACCCTTCTCAGGCTTAGAACCTAATGGCCAAGGGGCTCCAGGGAACGAGACTGCATTGCGCGCTGGAAACGTGCTGGGGGTGGATTGCAAGTGTTCTCACCACCTGTGTGCAGTGATGGATATGGCAATTGGCTTGGCTGTGATGATTTCACAATGTACATTGAAATAGCACTTTGTATACTTTAGATATATGTAACTTTTGTCAATTCTGTCCCAGTAGAGTCATGGGGAAATGCTCATTAACTCCCCCCGCAGTGTCTCAGACTTGCCTGGGACCCGGAACTCCAGCTGTCCTTCCTGTTTCTCCCATTTTGGGTGGGAATGTCTAACCTCTGCCTAGCCCAGCCTTGTATTTTGGGGAGACAGACCTTCTAGCTGCACAGGTTCCCAGTGGAAGAGCGGCTGGTTCTGCCCCAGGTGGACTCGCCCACGGCTCACCCACATGGAAGGGCACTGGCTCCGCGTGGAGATTTGGCGCTCAGAACAGATGCTGGAATGAGCAAGGACTTTGGGGGATGTAGTGATGGAGGCAGTGTATTTTGCATGTGGGACAGCTGTGGATTTGGGGGTCCAGAGAGCAGACTGTAACGGGTTGAACAGTGTCCCCCAAATCCATGTCCTCCCTGAACTTCAGAATGTGAGCTTCTTCGGAAATTCAGTGTGACCAGCGTCCCCACAAGAGACACAGGCACAGGGGAGAGAGCGCCATGTGGCCTAGGCGCAGATTAGAGTGCCACGTCCACGGCCAGAGACCGTGGCCGCATGAGCAGGGGGTGGAGAGAAGGGCCTGGCGTGCAGGCTCCGCTGAGCCCCCGAGGGAGGCTGCACTGCAGACACCTTGTTTCTGGCCTCCAGCCTCGAGTATTCTGAGAAAATAAGGCTGTCACTTGAAGCCGCCCTGTTTGGGGGAGTCTGCTGTGGGGTCCTAGGAACACCTGGTTTGTGAGTGCTTGGGCCACACCATGAAACCTGCAGCCTGTGGTGACCTGTGTGCCCGCTGGTGCCAACCCTGTGCGTGCCTGTTGGAGGGGCCCTGAGAGGCGAGGGCAGGAGGGCACAGGGTGTGTGTGTGGCTGGCTCTCTGGGGAGCGTGGGGACCCGGCTGGGGCAGGCGAGACCTGGCAGGATGCTGGGGGTGGTGGGCGCTTCCCCTACCTGCTTCTTCACCCGGATCATGCAGACGATCTCAGAGCACTCCTCCAGGGGCACCCTCTCGGGGGGCTGGGCCAGGTCCTTCAGGCTCCAGATGTAAACCTCACTCCGTCCTGCACATGCCGCCCACAGCTGCTCCTGCTGAAACACGGGGCACGGTATGGGCCGTGGGCCCCGGGCCACACGCATGCTGGGCCCAGAGTCCCTGCGGGGATACCTCGGGAAGGAGCTGGAAGGCCAGGAAGGAGGTGCTGGTGTCTGTGAAGTTCTCCTCAATCTTCAGTTCTTGACGAAGGAAGCCATTCGTTGTCATGACCATGATGCTGCTACCTGTACCTGCGGAAGGGAGGAGCTAGGCTGGGGCCAGGCAGCACCACTGGCAACGTGAGATGCCCACACCTGACTCTGTTGTTGCTGCTGAGGAAACCACAGGAATCCTGTCCCTCATCCGCGGCTTTGAGCGCCGTGGCGAGAAGATGCAGCTGCTTCTCGGAGGCGGTTCAGGGCTTTCTACACCTGAAACCCACGTGGCTCCAACAGCAACTGTTCGAATTCCAGGGAACAACACCCAGCCTCTGGGGAACATGCCCTGCGTGGTTCTAAGCGCCCCTCTCATCTGTTAACCAACTCCGGCAGAACGTCCCTTTTGTAAAGCAAGAGTTTTCACATCTGTGAGATCTGTGAGCGGCTGGAAGCAGCACCATGGACGGATGTGAGGCAAGGTCTCCAGAGAAGACAGAGGTCAGCGTTCAGGAGACAGAAGCGTGCCCAGCCCTCCTTCCTTACGCTCTGACTGCAAGCATCCCTCCCTCTCCACTGCCCTACGCTAAAGCCCCGGTGTTAGCACGGAAGTGGGAGGGCAGGAGAATAGGCCTGAGAGAAGTGGGGAAGTGGGGGAGGAACAGGGGACAGGAGTGAGGGGCCAGCACAGGGGAACAGCAGCGGTGAGGCTGGCAAGAGGGGTAGTGGGTCTCAGGTACCCGTGTGCTGGACTGAGTGGCTGGGCTCCATCCTCGGAGCACAGGGGCCATGGGGCACCCTTACTGTGCCTCTCTACTCCTCACCCCTTTCTTGCCCCATGACCCCTTTCCCACGCAGGCCAGGTCCGTGCCACTGGGGCTCCGTGCCCGCCGCCCAGGTTCTGGGCCTCTGTTGCTGGCATCTGGCATCCTCTGCGCCTTTGAGGTGGACAGTGCTCTGGCTTCCCGCCTCCCCACCCTCAGTGCCCTTTGCAGTGGAAAGCGTGGAGTTCACATCTCACTCTTTCAACAGTGAAGTGAAGACTCCAGGAAGGTGAAGGGGCTGCCCGGTTGGCAGGCATCCAATGTTCATACCTGGATCCAAGCCCAGATGCCCAGGAGACCACAGCCCACCCCACAGTGCACCCAGCAGCCTGGCAGACGTGAGCCTTCCAGCACGGGTGACTGGGGGCAGAGGTCCAGCCCCTTCTAGAAAATGTCCCAAGCACCCGCCCTTCTGAGCAACACTCCACCTTGGTGGTACCCCTCCCTCACCGGGGGAGCTGCTCATCCCAGCCCGGGGCACCCCCAGCCCCACCTTGCTCAGGGCGCTGGGAGGATTAGGGCACCACCTCCCTGCTCCATGCTGTCTTGCAGGCTGCACCACCGCACCCACTGACACCCAGATGGAAATAAGACAAGGCCTGACCCAAATCTCTCAAGTGCTAACATCTGATGAGTGGCCACAATTTTTGCTCATTATCCTCATTAGAGAAAGACTCGGAATAGCCTCATAAGCAAATGCCTCCGAGTTTACCTGAGGAAAGCCCGCCTTCCTCTTGTACCTTCCTCAGTGTGGTTAACAGGAAAACCACCTGTTGCATTCAGACAAGTCAAACGGGAAAGTGAAGAGGCTCGTGTGTAAAGATACAACGCTTACAACGAGGCTGTCGGCCCGCATGGTGGCTCACGCCCGTAAACCCAGCACCGTGGGAGGCCAAGGCAGGAAGACGGCTACGGCCCAGGAGTTCAAGACCGGCCTGGGCAACATAGTGAGACGCCTCTCAAACAAAAACCCTTGTCCGTCCTCACCTCGTCTCTGGTCTCCCCGGCTAGCTTAATCCAAAATGCAACTGCAGAGGACAACTTCTCACTCTCACACACACACACACACACACACACACACACACACACGTGACGGTCCCTAGAGACCAAGCAGAGCCAAGGGCCCGGTCCCTGAAAGAGGAGAGAGACTGCAGCGCTGCAGTCACCCGGCTTTCTCCGAGGCCCCGAGGAGTCCAAGTTCCAGCAGTGCACAGCAGCCCGGCCTGGCCGAGGTAGGTTTGGGGCTGCCGGCATGGCTGGAAATGGAGAAAAAAGAGCCTCAAGATGAGGGAACCCCAAAATAAACATAAATGTCCTCGAATCCCTGGCTGCTGCCTAAACTGCAAATAGCAGAAAGTGGTAGCTGGAACATTCTGGAACCAAGAAGGCATTTCAGTGCTTCCTGGGGCTAGAGGGGAGGTTAATAATAGTTCCAACTCAGGGGTGTCCAATCCTTCAGTTTCCCTGGGCCATGCATAAATTCACTAACACCAACAACAGCTGATTTGCAAAAAATAATCTCATAACTTTTTTTAAAAAGTTCTCGAATTTTTGTTGGGCCACATGCAAAGCCATCCTGGGCCGCGTGCAGCCCCCAGGCCATGGGCTGGACAAGCTTGCTCTAGCTCATCCGAGTAGAAAGGATTGGTTACAGCTTGGGTGTCCCTGGAAATCTCAAAGGCCATGCATTAAGAGTGAAGACCACGCTCCAGGACTAGGGTCAAAACTGAAATAGACTCACCCTAGAAAAACTAAAACCAAGCCTCTGCATGGAATCAAAGTGACCTGCCGGTAATTTAAGGACCTGCCAGAACACACCCAATGCTCTTTAAAGCTATACTTGTATCAGAACAGACTACAAATCAGAGATTCTAAGAGACAAATAAGGTCCCAATATAATGATAAAAGAGTGAATTCGGCAAGAGGATAAACAATTAAAATCTTCATGTACCCAACACCGGAGCTCTCTGGTACATAAAGCAAACGCTGATCAATCTAAAGGAGAGACCGACCGCAATACAGTCACAGCGGGGGGCTTCAACACCCCACTCAGCATCACCTAGCCAGGAAGTCAACAAACACTGGAGTTCAACCACACGCTGGACCAAAGAGGCCTGCTATTCACAGAACATTTCACCCAACTGTGGCTGAGACACGATCTTTTCATCAGCACGTGGAACATCCTCCGGAATAGACCATATCATAGGCCACAAAAGAAGTCTGAGCGATTTCAAAAAAGTAGAAATCTTACCAAGCATCTTTTCTGATCACAGCAGAACAAAACTAGAGATCAGTAAGAGAAACCGAACACGAGGAGATTAAGCAGCCCGCTCCCAAACAACACTGGGTCAATGAAGAAATTAAAAAGAAATTTAAAAATTGTCTTGAAACAAATGAAAATGGAGATACAACAACCCCTAATCCATGGGAGACAGTGAAAGCGGCACTAAGAGGGAAGTTGACAGCAATAAACACCTATATCCAAAAAGGAGACTTCAAAGAAACAACTTAAAGACGCACCTCAAGGAACGAGAAAAGCAAGAACAAACCCAACCCCAAATTAGAAGAAATGATAAAGATCAGAGCAGAAATAGAAAAAATGCACACTGAAAAAAATATGGAAGACCAACAAAATGAAAAGTTGTTTTTAAAAGATAAACATCTACAAACCTTTAGCTAGACTAAGAAGAAAAGAGAGATGACCCAAATAAATCGGAAATGAAGACACAGCAAATGAGACCACAGAAATACAAAGAATCACCACAGACCATTTTCAGCAACTACACACCGAAAAATGGGAAAAGCTAGAAGAACAGAATAAATTCCTGGACACACACAACCTAACTCAAGACTGAACCACCAAGAAATGGGAAACTTCAACAAACCAACCATCAGTAACGAAATCAAAGTCACAACAAAACTTCTCCAGTCAAAGCAAAGCCTCTTCACTTCTGACTTCTACAGCCTTTAAAAAAGAACTAATACCAATCCTAATGAAACTCTTCAAGGAAACACTTCCAGACTCATTCTAGGAAGCCGGCATGACCCTGATACCAAAACCGCTATTTGGCTCCCACATGTGAGTGAGTGGATCTCATGAAGACAGAGAGGAGACTGGGAAGGCCAGGAGGGTGGGTGGAAGGGTGAAGAGAAGTTGGTTAATGGGTATCAATGTATGTTTTGGGGTTTTTACAGTTTTTTAGAGAGGCTCTTGCTCTGTCGCCCAGGCTGGAGTGCAGACCCTTATAGGTCACTGCAGCCTTGAACTCCTGGACTTAAGCAGTTTTCCCACCTCAGCCTCCTGAGTAGCTGGGATTACAGGAGCAAGCCACCGAGCCCAGCTCCAAGTTTTCTTTTTCTTTTTAAAAAACATTTGTTTATAGAGACAGGGTCTTGCTATGTTGGCCAGGCTGGTCTCTTAAGTCCCAGCCTCAAGCAATCCTTCTGCCTTGGCCTCCCAAAGTGCTTACAAGCATGTGCCACTGCACCCAGCCCACATATACAATTTGGTAGAACAATACCTAGTTGTCAACAGGTCCGTAGGGTGACTATAATAATCTACTGCACATTTCAAAATAGCTAGCAGAAAATAATTTAAATGTTTTTAGCATAAAGAAATGACAAATATTTAAGGTAATGAGTATCTTAAGCACACTGATCTGATCTGCACAAATTACATGAATGTGTTAAATTATCACATGTACCCCCAAAGTATGTACATCTATTATGCATCAAGTAAAAAGTTACTATACATGTGAAACATCAAAATGTGACGCAACATCAAGAGAAAAACAGTACATAGAACCACAGATGATCCAGTGTCTAGCAGACAACTTTATACCAATAATTACAAATCTATTTTAAAACTTTTTTTTTTTTTTTTTTTGAGACACAGTCTCACTCTGTGGGCCAGGCTGGAGTGCAGTGGCATGATCTCGGCTCACTGCAACCTCCGCTTCCCAGACTCAAGCGATTCTTGTACCTCAGTCTCCTGAGTAGCTGGGATTACAGGCATGCGTGCGCCACCACACTGGGCTAGATTTTGTATTTTTAGTAGAGACGGGGTTTCCCCACATTAGCTAGGTTGGTCTTGAACTCCTAACCTCAGGTAATCCACCTGCCTCAGCCTCCCAAAGTGCTGGGATTATAGGTGTGAGCCACCACACCCAGGTATACATTTTAAAACTTACAGGAAGATATCAATAGAATGCATGAAGAAATGAAGAATTCAGGAGAGAAATGGAAGTTGTAGAACTAAAATGAAAATTCACTGGAAGGATTTAACAGCAGGAGAACACAGAAGAAAGGTTCAGGGCTTATCCAAACAAAAGTACAAAGAGAAAAAAGAATGAAAAACAATTGTTAACAGTGCCCAAGACTTGTGGGACAGTATCAAGTGGAGATTATATATTATATACACATATAAAGAGGGCAAGTAGGGCCAAAGGAATATTTGGAAAGATAATGGTTAAAATTTTTCCAAAATGTATGACCACAGACCCCAAGCAAGACCAACACAAAGATCTTCATACCTAAGCACCCAGTGCAACTAACGGAAGCCAAAGATGAGCCTTTACAGCAGCTCGAGAAGACTGACACACACGGCCAAACAATAATATGAACGATGGCAGATTTCTCAACAGGAACAAAGAGGAAAACGGGATGATATTTCTAAGGAGCTAGAAAAAATAAGAACTATCCATCAGCCTTGAATTTGTTTCCAGCAGACTCAAATTCTATGAAGCGCTAAAGGAAATTACTCCGGCTACTGGGAAAAAAATGTAAGACGGAAACCTGGGTCTCTAGGAAGAAATGAGGCTCACTGGAAAAGGTAATATATGGGCAATTTCTTAATTTTTCTTAATTTTCTTAAAAGATCATTGACTGCTTAAGCGAAATACTGTAAGCTTCTTACCCATCCATGAGGCAGTAGCGTAGTTGAGGAGGAAGGTGGTCGGTTAAGGTTGCATATTGCAATTCTTAGAGCAACCACCATAAAGTGAAACAAATGTAATGCTTAAAAACAATAAAGAAGGTTAATTTGAACATAAAAATATTCAATCCAAAAGAAGGCAAGAAAGGAAGAACAAAAGAAATCAGACGAGGGGAATAGGCACCATCGTTGGCTCGCACCCAAACACGTCACTGCTGCCCTGAAAGTGAGCGGAGCCGTGGGCAGGGGCCCACACGGGCACTGCTCAGGGGTGGCATTGGGGGCACCGGGCACAGGACAGGGCGCTCAGCAACATCAGCCGTGAGGGAGCCACAAACCCAAACCTCAAGACACCACACCCGCTGGGATGGTTTCAATAAAAACAGGTAAGAACAGGTTTGGGTTCAGATATGAAGAAACGAACCCTGAGACCGCAGGGGGGTGGAAGCTGCTCCCGCCACCTCAGAAAACAGTCTAACAGTTCTTCAGTTAAGCAGAGGTACCCAGTGTCCACCTGGGGCAGGGGAAGGATGACCAAGTGGTTCCATATGCACACGACGCAAGAAGGAGCGAGCTATTGATACTGATGCTCAGGAAGCTATCGCTGAGCCCTAAACACATTCTGCCGACTGAATACAGCCAGGTGCAAAAGAATGCATACTGTAGAGTCCATTTACAGAAAGTTCTGTAAATCCCAAATTCAGAGTGACGGAACTAAGAGCACCTGTATCCCCTGAAAGTGGGGCATGGCCCAGAAAGGGAACACCTGTGATGGAAACACCGCATCTTGATTTGTTTCATGGCTATGTAGTTTACATGTTTGACAAACTGCAACAAACTGAGCCCTTTTTGGTGGGTTTTACTACTTGTGAACCATGCTTCCATGACAAAAAAGAAAACATATTCCCAGTTGTCACTCATGTAATCCAGCACATTCCAAGGAAGACCTCAAAGTGCAGGCAGCTTCTGTGCTCTGCAGCGTCCAGAAACGCAGACACAAGGCTCCAAGCGAAGCACCCGCTGCTGCTCCTCCCATCACCCCTGGCAAAATGCCCAGCCTGGGTCCATGGAGAGTCCCAGGCCACAGCTCTGTGCCAAGTGGCCGAGGGTAACATGGCACGGGCTCGCTGGCTGGCACCAGGTGTGGAGACATGACGCACACAGAGGCCTCCCGGGAGAAGCAGCCATGACTCCAGGGGACACCTGGGCCAGCTTCAACCCCAGAGCAGGGCACAGCGAAAGGCACAGCGAAAGCCAAGGTGAGGGGCAGCAGAGCAGTGGTGCATCCAGGCAAGCACGCGTCCCACTGGCCGCTGGGTAGAAAATCAGAGGGAGGCCTGGGAACCCCAAGAGCAGCAACGCAGATGGAGCAAAGGCTGCTCAGAGCGCAGAAAAGGAGCCGGTTTAAAACACAGACTGGAAAGGCATGAGGCAGAGGAGAGCCGCTTTCTGCTCAGCTTCCTTTCCCCAGAGCAGGGAGCTAGGGTGCCACTCTGATGGGGCCGGACTTACAGCACCACAGGCGGCCGCCGTGCAGTCTGATGGACGTGAGGCCGCCGCTTGGCAGCTGGAAGCGGCTGGTCACCCGCAGCGTGCGCACGTTCCACGCCAGCACCGTGCCGTCCACGCTGCACGAGTACACCTCGCTGGGGGCACAAAACACACACACACACACACACCTTTAACTTGGGCCCTTGAAAACACTGCACACGTCTTAACCCAGGAAAGAACCAAGTCACATTAGAGAAAACGTGCTCAACACGGGTAACATGCGAACATGAAAATAACATGCACTCATACTCCGGATGTGGCCACAGCCAGGCTTGGCTCAAATGAACTGATTCGGGGGAAAAGGTGGGTTTCGGGGGATGCCCACCTGTCCTACCACCAGGGGCCACAGGCTCAATGAGCTGTTGGTCACAGAGCCACGACGTGACCATGAACTGAAATGGAGCCTCGTCGGTGCGCTCCATTCACACAGGGGGCCTGCTCTTCAAAGCTCACTGGTGACATGGCCGGCTGCAGGTGCAGGCGGCTATGTGTGGGGCGGGGCTTGGGCCTGTGCCCTGCACCACCCCGGCACCTCCTGAGCCAGTTTTGCCTCCAGGCTAGCACCTCCTTTCCCACCCAAACAAGGCACCCCGGACACTAAGTCAGGGGAAAAGGAGTGGGGAGCGTGGCACCGCATGCAGGGCTGGGGCTGCCTGGACCAACTGGGCAGCCTTGGGCAGCCCCACCCCAACGAGCCTCTGCTTGAGGAGACCCCCCCCATCTCCCTGGACGTCCACTGTGTCCAGTGCCGCTCCCAACATGGGGCAGCAGCACAAGGCAGGCCAGGCCAACACTGAGCACTCAGGTGATCTCCCAGGAATCCAGGCTTCTGATACCATGGCTGGTGTTCCTCTGGGAGGCTGTGCCCTCTCGGGGCTGCCCCAGGCTGCCATGCCCACAGCAGGCTCGGCAGGAAGGCTGGGGTGGCACCTTCATCACCACCCTTGGCTCGTTTTGGTCTTGTGGGTTCTCTGCACCCATGAGCAGAAGGGGACCGGGGACACCAGCCAGCTTTTCTCATTCCAGGTCCACTTCACTCTGTATGCCCTGCCTGGCCCCTGTGGGCATGAGCCTTGGGACCCCTACCCTCTGTGCCTCATGCCCCACCCAGGAGCCAAACAATCCCTTGTCCCAGCAGAGCCCGCCTGCACCTGGGCGCCTTCTGTCCGTCCTGCACGATCAAGTCCATGACGCTGGAGCGGTGGTCTGTGAGCTGCTTGTTGCAGGACATGCTGTGGACATTGATGATGTAGATGACGGAGTCCTCTGAGCCCACCCACACCTGGTTCTGGTCTGCCATCACCATGCAGTTCTGCAGAGGCCACGGGAACATGAGAACACAGTCAGCTCTCGTTACCGGTGAAGTTCTGTTCCATACGTTTACTGCAAATGCTGGAGCGGATGTGGAACCATTGCTCCTAGGGGACACGCCAGCTCAGGGTCCTGTGAGCCTCTGGGTCCTGACGTTCTCACCAACCCTTCAGTACACAGCCCTGTTCTCTGCGTGCTTCTGTTCACAGACACCTTATTCGCTATGTATGGTTGATTCATTAACATGGAACCCACGGCCGCCAGCACGGTAACTGCGGCCTGAACAAAGTTCATCTGACACATGCATTTTCTCTGCAAGACGGGTCACCACCCCCTTGTGCTTTGGGAGCGCGATGCTTGCGGCTATCTCAAACGGTAAAACCACCAACAAAACGCAAAAAATGTGAAGACCGCGGCACCAATCAGGCCGAGGACAGGACACTCGTTGGCCCAGAAAACGCACATCAGGCGACTCCGGTTTTTGCCCACTCTGGGCACGTGCATGTATGTGGATCACCAAGAAAGCACCACGAGGATTTGTTTTGGGAGTTACAAATAAATATTAGCCGGTAGTTGAATTTGCAAATACAGGATCTCCAAATGATGAGACCCGACTGTGTGTGAACAGGCAAAACTGGCAGTGCTCCCGGTGGCTAAGACGTGCTCAGGGTTCCTGGCTAAGCGGTCAGCACGATTGCTTTTAGACTTTTTTTTTTTTTTTGAGACAGGATCTCAACTTGTCACCCAAGCTGGAGTGCAGTGGCATGGTCATGGCTCACTGCAGCCTCAGCCTCCCAGGCTCAAGCGATTCTCCTGCCTCAGCCTCCCAAGTAGCTGGGACTAGTCCCACCATGCCTGGCTAATGTCTTCAATTTTTAGTAGAGATACGGTATGCCCATGTTGCCCAGGCTGGTCTCGAACTCCTAGACTCAAGCAATCCTCCTGCTTCAGCCCCTCAACATGCTGGGATTACAGGCGTGAGCCACTGTGCCCAGGCTTGAAATGCTTATAACTAAAAATTAAATTTAGAAAAATAATTTCCCAATTTTTCCTTTTTTTTTTTTTTTTTGGTTTAAAGCATTATTAGACTTTTGTAAATGTTTTTACTGTATCATGGATCCTGTGACTTTATCATCTGAGACTCATTATTTGCATATGGGGAAAATGGTTTAGCAATCTTATCATCTTGCTAACATGGAGCCCTCTCAGCAGTATATATTTGAATTCACGATATTTGTTTTATAGCGGTTTTGCAAGCACATACTGTGCCATGGATTGCCACATTATTTTAGACAAGGGAACACTGCCATCAAAATTGATACCACGGCCGGGCGTGGTGGCTCACACCTGTAATCCCAGCACTTTGGGAGGCTGAGGCGGATGGATCACTTGAGCCCAGGAGTTTGAGGCAGCCTGGGCAGCATGGTGAAACCCCGTCTCTACTCAAAATACCAAAATTAGCTGGTGTGGTGGCACGCCTGTAATCCCAGCTACTTGGGAGGCTAAGGTGGGGAGGGGGGTCACTGAAGCCAGGACGTCGGGGCTGCAGTGAGCCGTGATGGCACCACTGCACTCCAGCCATGGGCAATGGCACTGAGACCCTTTCAAAAAAAAATTGATACCCAACAATGCCTAATGTATACTTGGGCACTGGAGTGTTCTTTTCACATTAAACATGTAAAAAAAATAAATCCTATCATGCTCAAAGAGTAAGGCATGAGGATTTCCCAGCAGACCCCACGAGGCTGCATTGGAGGAGGACTGCAGGTGTGAAGATATTCTGGAAAGTATAAAATGCAACTGAAGTGTGGAAATCATCTGTGAATCCATGAGTGAGAACAGGAGAAACACGGACAGAGGATGTGCAGCACTCAGCAGGGGCATGCGGGGCCGCAGAGCACGGGAGCTCCTGGGCGGCCTCTCGAGGGCAGGGAAGTGCACACAGAGCCGCAGCAAACAGGGACAATCCCCAAGAAATGGCGGTCTGGAGGCAGGAGGGCCCTGGGGGCCTGGAGAGATGAGCAGGGCAGGACTCCCAGCTCCTACGCTCAAGACAGCATGGTCACGGAAGAGGCGACACCATGGCACTGCCACAGACACATCACTAAAAGTGCATTCACAGTTGTATTTGTTTTAAAATTATCAGAAACAATTCAAACTTGCTTTTAATCAGGGGTGTCCAATCTTTTGGCTCTCCTGAGCCACACTGGAAGAAGAATTGTCTTGGGCCACACATAAAATACATGAACGTTAATGATAGCTGATGAGCTAAAAGGAGAAAGACTGCAAAGAAAAACTCATCATGTCTTAGGAAAGTTGACGCATTTGTGTTAGGCCTGTTCAAAGCTGTCCTGGGCCACATGCAGGCCCACTATGGCCCAGCTGCAGGCCACAGACTGGACAAGTTTGCTCTAACAGAAAGGAATTGTGCCATGAGTGGACGCTGAGTTTCGCTGGGCCCTGGCCTCTCTGCCACCTGGCACGTGGGGACAGCTGGATAACACTCAAGTCACTGCAGTGGGAGCTGTCTCCTATTTTGCTCCAAGAGAGACCCAGTCACGACTGTGCCCCCAGGAAACACCAGGGTGTACAGGAGACTGCAGGACCATTTTAAGGTCTGGTATGCACAGGAAGCTTAGCGCTACAGTGCGGGATGTGAGAAGCATTCTCGGTCTGGGCAACATGGCAAAACCTCAACTCTACAAAAAACACAAAATTAGCCAGGCATGGTGGCAGGAACCTATAGTCCCAGTTCCTAGGGAGGCTGAGGTGGGAGGATCACTTGAGCCCAGGAGGTCGAGGCTGCAGTGAGCCATGGTTGTACCACTGCACTCCAGCCTGAGCAACAGAGCAAGAGCCTGTCTCAGAAAAGAGTAAAAGTTGTTGTTCCCAAAGGGTGGTGTGAGGCCCCTGATAAGCAGGCAGAGACCACAGTGGCTCCACTTCACAGACCTGACATTTTTGATGTTTATTACTATTACTGTTTGTTTGTTTGAGACTGGGTCTGGCTAAAGGCATGCTCCACCATGCCCGACTAAATTTTGTATTTTTTGTAGAGACGGGGTCTCACTCTGTTGCCCAGGCAGGTCTCAAAGTCCTGGGCTCGAGTGATCCAAAGTGTTGGGATTACAGGTGTGAGCCACTGCAATCAATGTATTTGGGAGTAGGGGGTGGCGGGCAGGGCGTGGCCTGAAATCTATTTTTAGATGAGAGAGAGTCAAAGCCATTATTGTCTCCCTCAATAAGAACGTTAAGTAGAAGGTTGGAACAAGCTTACACTTAATATAAAATCTTGAGGTAAAAGTTAAGACCCGCTGTTTACAGAAAGTGAGCAATGCTGTGAAAGAGCGCGTACCCTGTCGCATACAGGTGATCACGCTCGGGTTTCAGAAATCATGCAGGAATGCAGAGGCGGCTTTCCTGACGCTTCGTGTACTCACCACCTTAGCGGTGCCCACTTTAAAGGAGTGCTGGTGGACTGTCCAGGAAGAAGCATCGAACACTGTCACCTTGCCTTCGCTCAGAGCACACCATAACTTGGGGTGAGCATTTTCAACTTTTTCGGCTGGGTCAAGATGCCCTAAAGAGAAGAGCAGCCCAAAAATGTTAGGAGGAAGTGCTTTTGCTGGAGTGCCACTGCTCAGGTGTCTCCCGGGCCCTCCTAAGCTGCAAGTCCATGCTAGGTGCTGCACATACAAAGATGGGCCCCTGCAGAGGCTGCCCTGCCTTCCCGGAGCTCAGAGTCAAAGGAGCAGCTGGCTGGTGAGAGGGCCACGCAGGCAGGGGCAGAGCCGAATGCCCGGGAGCTTTGCTAAGCCAGGACCCGCGGCTGAGTGAGCATTCACCAGAGAAAACAGCCAGGCAGAGGGAATTGGAAGAGGGAGCAGGTGGGCCCAGAAGAGAGAGAGCGAGGGAGGGAAGGAGGGAGAGAGGGAGGGAGAAAGGGAAGGAGGGAGGGAGGGAGGGAGAAAGAGAAGGAGGGAGGGAGGGAGGGAGAAAGGGAAGGAGGGAGGGAGGGAG